TATCAGTTCCAGGCAAATCCAGAACCAGAACCGTAAACGTAGACAGTTTCTTCAAAGCATTGGTCGCCGTAATGGTAAGAGCGAGAGAACCCAAAGATAATTGCTGAGAAGTCAAATTCTTCAAGACATTGATAGAGTAAGAGTGGGACGAAGACACATCAAGCAGTAGTTGGAAATACTCGTCGTAATCTAGCCGAAATATTTGGATGGTTACGCAAGAAATACTCCAGAAAGACCTGGACAAACCTTCAATAGCAAAATCAACCTGTAAATTGTCGTCGTTCTGAAGCTGAATGAACTTATCGGCAAGTTCAACCGTTCCGGATTTATACTCGGCAGAATAGTGCTTCTGGACAAACTGCAGCTGGGAAGTCGTGGTTTCTACATCAACAACCAGCAGCGAAGTGGCATTGGAAGTGGGATGGCTGGTTATGCAGGCGGTGAGGACAACAATGAATGGTGTAACCAGTGGAGAAGTGTCCAGGTTCTTAACTACATCTACTTCATTGGTTTCAGTGTTGAATGTGAAGTATTCTCCATATTCTGGAAAATACCAATCGAAGATAGAATTGCAAGTGCGGCGCTTACTTTAAGCCATTACCTCCAAAGCTGACAGCAATCGCTTCGGAGTCAGCTCCAGTTACAGCAATGACTTCATTGAGCTTTATAGAGTCCATTCCAGTATTCTCAACGGAATATAAACCTGAATAGTAAAGGTTGCTGAACTGGATCAGACGCTGAGTTGGCAGCTGCAGCACCAGCAGGGCACTGGCAGATAACCCAGACATTGTTGCAGTTATAGGAACAATCAACTGCTCATGACTGTCCAGGATTTCGACGCTCAGATTCTTCTGCACAGTCACCGCCCACTCTGACCCATCCAAGACGACTTTAAAATTGTCGCTGAAAGCTGGCAGAAGAGCTGTAATATTTGCTTGCAACCCCCCCTTCAAGGCGCACCTGCATCAACTGCAATCTCAACTGCAGAAAAATCCGTGGTTTCCTCGAATCCTATATGGGAGGCACTCCCAAAGGTCACAGCACCAGCTTCTGAGTACTCAGCACTATACACTGGGCTATCAAAGTGAAGGCTGGCCTTCTTCACGTAGGAAAGCGCCACAACGGCACTGGTTGAGTTCAGAGTAGCTGATGTGGCAGTCACAGCAAACACCAGCTTTAAGTACTGATCGAAATCGTCAATCGCTAGAACGCTGCCAGAGGTGATTGCATACGACCGCTGGTCAATGGTGAGCCGGTCTGAGACCGCTATAAACCCGAGAAAACAACATATTAACTGTCTTGGGACGTACATATTGCCTAAGCAGAGCAGAAAATCGTCTAAATAAATACCGTCGGATAAGGTGACGCTCTCGGCATTTTGGAGTTCGATCTCAGGATCCAGGCTAATAGAGTTAGAGTCGGGATCGTAGGCGCCCTGGTAGAACAGGCTGGAGAAGGCTGGAATCAGCTCCAAATGCTCCACATCGATGATCAGAACAGTTTCAGTAGTCACATCTGTGGTGAAGCTCAGAGTGAGCAGGATCTGAGCCGGCAGGTTAGGAAGGACAATCGGGGAATTGCTCAGAGTGAATTGCTGGGTGCTATTGTCGAATACTACTTGGAAGCTGGACGCCCATTCTGCAAGGAATTGACTAGGATTTTTACCCACGTTGCACAATAATGGATATCGTTTGCCGAACACTCCTTACCTCCTTCCAGCTGATAAGAGGCTTCATCGGGTTTGAGGGAGGTGATCGCAATGTCCCCATCATTCGCAGTTAACTGGCCGGCAATGGAGTAGGAGAAGGAGTAGTAGCTGCTGGAAAATTGGGGCGAGTCAAACCCGGCCGACGCATTAACGGCTATGGTGATTTCAACGATCTGAGTTTGATTTCCTGAATCCTGCAAACAGCTTCACGTGTACAGAAACGATTGGTTGAGTTTCCAGGACTTACAACGGCGGTCAGAGTGTAGATTTGGCTTTGGTCGAACTGGAGGATCCGGACTGGGTTGAGTAGCGCTTTGAATTTGCGCTCATCCAGCTGGACTGTCGTCACCTCAAAATCCTCCGGTGCAATGGAGAAGCTCATCTGTTCATTGGAGAAGTTGACATCGTACACGCTAATCAGTTCCCCATAGGCGCTGATGTCTGTTTTGGGCATTATCGGCATAGGGAGCGAGTAGGAGTAACCCGAAGGGTTACTAAATGCCAACTCGCGCGAAAACGTGTCAGTTACTGTCACATCCACTTGCTGCAGGATAAACCAATTTTTTTCACTATCTAAGAACTATGAAACCATACTGACGCTTTGTGCTGTTCCGTCACAGTTCAGCGTAATGAGTAGGACGAACGCAGCTACGCCTCCATCAGTATGCACATTTTCGCCAAACGAGGCAAATTTGTCGGTAGTTTGAATTGTGAATATGTTTTCGTCAATCGAAGCCTCAAAGAAACTTAAAGCAGTCACATCTGGGCTCAGATTAGGATTAGAAACAGGTGTTGCATTAAAGCTCAGCAAACTAGCTGCAACTGTAAAGTTGGTATACAAATTCGTACTGAACAGAATGATTTCAAATCGGACTAAAACTTAGGTCTTTTGGACCGATTGGAGTGAATCCAGAATTGTCCACCTTCAAAGGGACCTCAGTTAAACACTCATTAAGCGCAATATGTTGTTTAGCATCTGTTTTTCAATTTAAAAGATGATAAGTTTAAGATAGTAGATGGTATACGCAACAAGAGCTTTTATGACAAAAGCATGTCACCGATAAGGTGATAATGACTATGATACATTTTATGCTAAAACTTACCTGAATCTGGGAGAGTATAGCTATATATCACCTCAGACACATTTCGCTCGGAAATGAAGATTTTGGGTGCGGTCATTTTACAGGGATTATCAGCACCTGGAAAGTGCAAGAGTTTCATTCTCTGCCTCATTTCAACGGGGACAAGTTTTTGTCCAATAGAAAGAAGGAGCTGGAAAAGTTGCCTTGTAGGCGAACATTTCTACGGAACAAAACGAGGAGGCTTTTGAGTAATTTGGTTGTAGCAGTTTGGACTCAACAAAGGTTCCTCATTTGGTCCATCTACTGATCATCTGAGTATGTAGACTTTTCGCCTCGGGAACCACCGATTATACATGTGGAACGCACATGAAATTCCAGCTGTTGACCGTCATCAGAGGCGTCTGGAAAAATTCGCAAATCGCGATCTTCAGAGTGTGCGAGGATCACTTGGCGTTAAACGTTAACTGTATGAAGGCCAAGAGAGACAGCAAATTGGCACGTTTTGCATGGGATACTGCGTCCTTTTTGCTTGGCCCATCATCAGGAAATTGTGCAAAAATTCACGAACTTGAGTTAGATTTGGTAATCTAGATCTTAAAGAGGGCGCATGGTTTACCTGAAGTTTAACACCCGGTATGAGAGAACCAAAAAAGACAGACGACTGGGGATTTTTGATTTGGAAAGTGGGCACTTTCAGATATAAGAGCGGAAGGTTTCGTGTTCGAGCAACTATTAGGGATTTTTGGAGAAATCCCTAAACTGGAGCTAGATTTGGCAACCGATATTCTAAATAGAACGCATGAGATTCTTGCAGTTACACGTCCAGTTTATGGGAATCAAGAAAGACAAACCACTGCGGATTCTTGCTGTTGAGAGCGCACACTTTTCCGCACGCACTGGGAAAGTTTCGTTCTCCGCTCATCATCAGGGAGTGGTGAAAAAATTTGTGAACATGCGCTCGATTTGGCCATCGGGATTTGACTTGAAGTTCGGATTTTGAGTAAACCATGAGAAAACGACAACTGTGGAATTTCGCGGTTGAAAGAGCACACTTTGCCATGAGGCCTGAAAGCTCTATTTGTTTGACCATCATTGGAAAGTGATAGAAAAGTTCCCAAACTTGGGAATATTGAAAAACTCTGCTCCCAAAGAGGGTGAACCTACACAGTTTTCGTTCCTACTTCCATGATTAAACCGAAGAGGTTTTTTCATAAAATCTACTGTGTTTGTCATGCAACTTGTTTAAAAAAATTTTTTTTTAAATGCTTTTGCTTCAAAATCTCGGTCAAAGCAGCTTGGAGGATTTTTTACATTTTTTTTCGCGAAAACGAAGCTGTTGAGCTAAAAAAGTTATTTTTCATAAAAATGCCGAACAAACTCTGGTTACCTGCTACGACAACTTCCGAACGTCTGCAGTGCAGCATAGTTTTCGAGAAAATGCCAAACATGTTTGCAAAACAATTAATATCTCCCCAACCAAAAGCAAATAGAAAAATCTGAGTACGCCACTGAATAGAAACGTGCTAGTGCTCTATAAAAGAGCTGGTATAGAGTTTTCCGCTCAAATGAACAGCAGGCGAGCTACAGGCGATTATCTGGTGTGGTGCCAAAACTTTTCGCATTCAACTTTGCCTAATGGCCCCCCCGGGCACGCCACTGCTGTGGCACAACCAATTTTAAGTGAAAGCGGCAACACTGTTTTGTGGATTTTGAGTCAGTGTCCCCCTGTTTGTGAAAATTCGTTGAATCAGCTCTGTATCTACCTAGGATTTAGCGCAATTTTCAAATTTTTTTTGCTCAAAAACAAGGCTTTCTATCGAAAAAAGTTGGAGCAAGCTGCTATCCAGCCAACGTTTCGCTTGCATCATCATGAACATACTTTTAGCTTTCATTGTCCGAAGCATTTGAAGGAATTTTAAGGCAAAAACCTGTTGAGTTCGAGTGGTTACCCGCGTGCTCACAATGAGTTCCATATGGAAGCTGTGGGATTGTGAGCAAATTTTTCACCTCGAAACTTTAGTTTTTAGCAAGCAAGCAACATCAAACTTTCAAGAGTCTGCTTATTTCCTGCTGTCCTCTAAACATTCACTGCACCAAAACAGTTGCTTACCACAATGCAACTTTTCTTTTTCCTTACCTTTACAGCTCGGCCACAACAAGCACAGCAAAATCAAAAAGTCAAAAATATTCATCTTTGCACGCAGTGATCGAACATTTCAAAAAAACCTAATCACAACTACTGACTTGAACAGTACGAATCCCAAGTGCTGGGATATGGCTAAAACGATGGAGAATCAGATAAAATTAGTGGAAAAAACAACGAAGCTCTGCATCTAATTGGTGCTTGACAGCGTGATATCATGCCTTGAAATATCACCTTTAAGTGTTCGAGTGTTTGACACAAATCACTCGAATTTGGATCAGGGGAAAGGAACGGCGATATCCTAAATTCGTCACAAAATCAATTGTTAAGCAAATCAACATTTATTTGGCTATGATTAATTACAGTGATTGTTTTTCATTTCAATCTAATCGGGCTATCGATTACTTATCGGGGATTAGGCTGTTATTATTTGGATTTAGCAGGAATTTTGATAAGATGCCTGTTTAAATAACGCGCATTAGCTAACGTTCCTCTGGGGCCTTAACAGGAACTCTGGCCGCGAGGTTCAACATGCTGGCCCACTGGCCTTTGCATAGCTGATCGAAGCTCATGTCCTTTAGTAGGCGGCCTCCTAAGTCGCCAGGGCCTCGACAGGCCAAGTCCAAGTCCCTCAGCTTATCCGCATTGACATCAACCCATCTACGCAAACAGTTGCCCCACTCATAGTCATAAAAGTCTTCTACATACCTGGATAGGTAGAGAATGTTGCAGTCACAGTGCCAGGGATTTTTGTCCAACCTCACAGAAACCAGTCGAGTTAAAGGCTCGAAAAGCCTAGCGGGCAGGAACTGGAACTTGTTGCTGTCCAATTGCCTGCAACATTTCTCTTCAGCTAAAGCCCAGCTTCTACCTGCACTGCTTACAGCTTCAGCAGCTTGGGCGTGGGCAGAAAAGTCCTGTCGCTAATCTCCCGAAGGATGTTGTTCTGGATGAACAAGCAGGTCAAATTAGCCAGGCCCTGAAACGCCTCCGCTTGCAGCTCCTCCAAATTGTTGGAGAACAGGAACAACTTGTCCAGCCTCCTGTTCTGGATGAAGGCGCTTCCTGGCACGCTGCCGATGAGGTTCCGGCCCAGGTGCAACTCTTGGAGGCTGGATAAGTGCATGAAATCCTGCGGTTGGATCTGGAACAGCCGGTTTTTAAGTGGCAGCAGGAGCGGGGTTGAAATTGGTTGAGGGCGCGCTCACCTGCCTGATTTGATTGCCCGTCAGCTGCAGGATCAATAACTTGGGCAGCTTGAGGAACAAATGCTCCGACAGGTGGCTGATGCGGTTTTTCCTTAGGTTGAGCATCTGCAGGTTGCGGAGTTCATCGAAAATTCCTACAAAACGCACCAGAATGTGTCTCAACTTTAACCCGAAAAATCTAGAAATTCGTCCAGTTCTTCGGCAGAAGCTGAAGGGGACTCCTGGAAGTTTCTCAATACCTGTTGGAAGCACGCTGATGTTATTCTCAGCCAAATTCAGCTGAAGCAAGGCGGTCAAATCAGCAAACGCTGACTTGGACAAGCGCTCCAGAAGGTTCTGGCTCAGATCCAGATCCTCCAGCAACTCCAGCCCATTAAACAGGCCATCAGGAATAAATTTCAGCTCGTTGGTGGATAAATGCAGCACAATCAAGTTGGGAGTGTCGCTGAACAGTCCGGGCTTTAACAGTTTCAACTGATTGGAGGAGGCATCGAAAGTCCGTAGACTGAACAACTCCTTCAGGAGGCCCGGATGGAGGTTTTCCAATTTGTTCATCTGCAGGCGCCTGCAGAACTGCAGTAGAGTATTGGATGGATCGGGAGCTTTTACTCACAAGTAGACCAAGCTGCTGAGCTTCCGGAACAGATCAGGAGGCAGGTAGTCGATGCGATTATCAAAGAGTTCCAGCTCAGTGAGATGGGTGAGGCCCATAAAGGTGCTTTTGCTCAAGGTGGTAAGGGCGTTTATTCCCAAGTCTCTGGAAGAGAAAGTGATGGTCAAAGTGGATTTTTTGGCACTCAGGACTCACATGGACCGCACGTCGTAAGGAACCAGTTGCTCACAGGGCAGTTGAGGTAAGTCCTTCTGCCAGCAGCTCAAAGTTTTAGTTTCGAGCTGGCATTTGCAGGGCCCCACTGCACAGTCCCGCCACCTAGTTTCGCTGTTTGCTATTTCCCAAACTGGAACCCATTTTTTTAAATTCCCGTTGAAATTAAGAAAGGCTCAATCTTCAATTAAAAATTTCCTAACTGCCAAACCAATGGAGCCAGAACATTGAAATTTGGACAGTTCATGACTAAGACCCATGTGAATAACTGCGCAAGTTTTCTCTGGACTCCAGCTTTTAGTTAGTCATCCAGCAACTTTCAAAGTTGGCCCAGCACACTACTCAAGCACGGTTCAACTCAGCAGTGGTTGATTGGGAAAACACTTGCGACAAACTCAAATTGCTCCAAATTTCCAGGCACACCCAACCATATAACTGTGAAGAGTTTCATCCCAATTGCAGTTTCCACTGGGAATCCAGATCTGCTCACACTTGATTAAGTGGATAGTTTGAATTATGCTGGAACCAACTAAGTTTTGCTACTGAAAGAACATCGTTTTGCTTTTGAAAAGTGCGTTACTACCAAACCAGGGCAAGAGACAACTTGAACTTGCTCAAGCTTTTGGAGGAGGTTCTGCGGCATAACTGTGGGCAGTTTCACAAGAATCCACCTGAAGCTTGTAAAAACTTAATGTTTGTCAAACTGTGATATAACTGTATAACTGTGAACACTTTGAACAAAGTCCCAGGCTCGGTTAAGGACGCACATGCTTCTTCAATTGATCATAGTCGGCACGGTGGGACTTAGAAGCTTGTTTCTACCAAGCCATGAGACGTAGAAACTTAAAATGTTTCCAATATTTTACGGGCACTTAAGTATATAACTGTGACAACTTCCAAAACAATTAAAAACTCCAGTAAAGATGCAGGATTTTTTAAATTCAGCCAGTCAAATGATCCAAACCTGCAAAGTCAAACTAAGTAGCTTCTTATTTCCAAAACATTCTGAATAAAGCGCTGAAAGTCTTCCTGCATTTACAGAACATATAACTATATAACTGTGAGAAACTTGGTAATAAATGCGTTGAAGATTCAGAAGAACAGAAGGAATCAAACCTGATCGAGCCAATTAGTTGACTGGCGCAAGCTTCAACTCAACATTTTCTTGCTGCCAAACCACGAGAGCTAAAAACGTGTAATTTGGTCAACTAGTCACAAATATCTAGCTGTACTACTGTACGAAATATCATTAAAATCCACTGATTCAGTGAGAATTCAGGATTTTTTGTTTCATCACATTAATGAGCCGAAACCTGGAAGATCGAACTCACCAGTAGCTCATTGCCCTAACAGCGAAAGCAGAAAGTTGACATTTTTCTAGCGTTTAAGAAACAGCCAACTAACTGAAAAACTTTGGCAAGTTTCATTAGAATCCATGATTCCATTGAAGATGGAATAGGATTCCAATATCCTCCTCAATATTTTCTAGCAACAAAACTAACACTCGCAGCAACTTGAAATCTTGCCAGTTTCTAACGCATACATAACTGGATAACTGTGAAAATTTTCATTTAAATCGCCATGTCGAGTAAGCCTGCAGAAATTTTTAAAATTGATGTGGTCAACCGATCAAAACCTGCAAGGTCGCGCTCAGAAGCTTCTTCTGAGCTTAGTGGAAGAAGTAGGGAGTTGTCAGTTTTCAACATTTTAGAGGATACCCAACTGTATAACCGTGAAAAGTTTTATTTCAATTTCTATCCCCACTGGGGATCCAGGCAATTTCGAAACTCATCAAACCCTCTGTTCGAATTATGCAAGACTCACCTCAAACATTTTTTGCTGCCAGACTCAAACTTGCAGTAACATGGAAGTTTTCCAGAACGTAACCCAAACTCATCTGTATAACTGGGCGAATTTTCAGTAAAATCGAAACGCTCTTCAGACTCAGAAATTGCTAAGTGCAAATCTTGAGCAACTGGAAACTTGGGAAGCTGGCAGCCAGTAAAAAACTCAGTTGAGGAGTTTTTAAAAATTGCATTAAAGTGCCACTGCCCAGCTTTGAATCCAGACCCTTCAGAACTTGTTGCTGAACGCAAAAAAATCACTGAAGCAAAACTAGGGCAGGTAGAAACTTGAAATTTTCCCACTGTTTATCAAACACACAGTTTATTGACTGTGATGAATTTCAATAAATTCCGTCTGCTAAACAAATACTTCTATATGAAGCTGACATGCCAAAGCTTTAAGAGGCTGCTAATCTACCTTAAACCAATATTTACGTTGTGCTGATCACTTCCTTAGGTGAGATTTCATGTAAAAACAGCAAATAATAATGATAATAATGATTAATATTGATACTGATCACCTACCAGGCTGTTCTAAGGAGCGCAGCCGCCGCTCCAGCTCGGTAAGATACTCGCTTGTTTTGTTGCCATCCTCAACGCGATTCGCCAATTCTTTGAGGTAAATGAGGCTTTTATCCAAAGCCTGGCAGGCCGAGAGTTCGCACACCAGATCATCATCGTCGCTTTTTGAGGAAACGGCCAAAAGAAGCAAAAGTAGCAGCTTGGAGGACATTTTACAGCACTAACAAGCTGGGATTGATTCTGGGCTTAGACACAATCTAAACCTTGGCTTTTATTGAATAATGTGGCGTTATTAGCGGCTTTATTAGTTCTAATTCCCGTGAAATCTGCCTATCCTGCAATTGACGCTAATTGTTCACGGGGAATTAAAAGTTTAAGTTGCTTTAGATTAGACTTACTTATAAAATATAGCGCAAAGTCCACTGCATTTGAAAAAAAAAGATTGGGGAGTGAAACTGGGCCATTCTCAACTGCTTTTGTAAATTTTCAAAAGTCCCCATAAACATTGGGTTTATTGATGTTAATAATCGCCTAATCCATACACTGGAAAGTTCTATAAACACTCGAACGTACATTAACTCGCTATTAAATATTCAAGCAATTTGCGCCCAAAAACCCCCAGAAAGCTGTTAGCGTGAACTCAGAAGTCATTACTGAGCGCCTGTGCTTAAGTGCTTAACTTCAAGGCCCAAATCGACTTTTCATCAAACTTTTCACACGCGATAAAATGGCCGTAAGATGCATTTGTCTGGTACTACTCGGCGCTGGCTGCATGGCTGCAAGCCTCAGACAGTCAGAGCTGCTGAAAAACATCCACCAAATATCCCCCGTAAGGAATTTCATCATTTTCACCGAATCGCATGCCGTTCAGGCCCTGATCAAGCCATTCCACCAATCGCAGCCCGTCGTTATCGTCGATCTGACTCAGCAGCGGCGCTCAGAAAACTACAACACCACGTTCAGAAGAACCTTGGAAAACTACCTGTGCAACTACAAAAACGTGTATTTTACGTTTCTGCTGCACCCCGAACACTTTGCTAAGGCCTTCGACCGCATCGCCTCGTTCACCTTTTGGAAAGCGCGACAAATCAACATCATTGTGGCCAATTTCACGATGGATCAGGTTCGGGCGTGTTCGCAATGGGCTTTCCAGAAGTACTGGGCCACGAATCTGATTTTCACTCAACGAGACTTTCGCCTCCTGATGAGGTACGTGCAAAGTGAAATTGCTTGTGCCAATTTTGAAGATTCTCAAACTCCACAACTCTCAAACACTCCCTGTTTCAGATTCGATCCGTTTCGAAACGCGACAACAACCGAGCAAAGCGCCAGCCTGATTTTCCAGAATCCCACCTCAAATCTACAAGGATATCGGCTGAAGATCGCAATGATTCCATCCATAACAGCCAAATGGAATGGAAGTCACTTCAACGGCCGCGATGGGATTTTAATGACCGAAATCCTTAGGCAGTTTAATGCAACTGCGGAATTTCGCCGGTTTTCTGTAGCTGAGTATGGGGAATTTTCCTCTGGCTCCCTCACGGGGATCATGGCCTATGTGGCCAATGGAAGCGTGGATGCGAACTTTAACAGTCGCTTCATGTCCAGAGAAGTGGCCAGATATGTAGGTTTGTGCAATGGAGTGAAAACTTTTGCATGAGAGGGAGGTTTTAGGTGGACAACACTTTCCCGCACGAGATGGACAATCTCATCATCCTCCTCCCGATCCATTTATCTGCCAGCTCCAGCGTGTGGATAGTGGAATCTGTAGAAATCCTCGTGGCCGCCATTATAGTCCTGATGTTGACGCTGCTGTTTCTTCATCAACATCTAAAGCTTCCCTACAGCCTCTTGCCCATATTGGCTGTCCAGCTGATGACGGGCCGGGCTATCAACCTGCCCTCCAGCCCCCTCACCAACATCGTTCTCATGTCAACCTCTTTCTTCATGTTTTTCCTCATCAGCACCTTCCAGTGCCGCCTGATCAGTGTGCTAACAATCACCTCAGGCTCCTCAGAACTCACCCGAATCCAAGAGGCTGCCAACACCGGCTACAGCTTCAACACGGAGAAAATCTTCAGAACGGCCCTGGAAAACTTTGAGGGCTCCGACACGCAATCCATGAAAAAAATCATGTCCAGGAACCACTTCTACGAAACGGAGGAGTTGCTGGGCAAGTTCTCCAAGTGCTCCAAATCGGAGGCTTTTATAACCACGGGAAAAGGCGCCCATGCGCTGTTCCAGGGCTTCAAAGGCGGGCAGGGCTGCTTCTACAAGCTGAAGGCTCATCTGAATCCCGTACAGTTGACCTTTGTCCTGAAATACGGCTCCCCTTTGCTGGGCAAAGTCAACGTGATTATTTTGAGGACTTTCGAGTCCGGATTGCAGAGGGTTTGGGGCCAGTCCGCCCCCAGCCAAGTAGACATGGATGGGGAAAAGGTTATCAAGTTTGAGAACTTAAAGACGCAATTCAACTGTTTATGGGCAGGATGGATCCTGGGATTTCTGGTGCTGCTAGTGGAGATTGCGATGAAATACTGGCGAAATGTTGCGTAATGGTTGTGGGACAGCGCAGTCAAAGGCCTGAGATCAATCACGGAAATGTTTGTTTTCGAAAAAATGCATCACGTGGCTTCAACGATCGCGTGAATGTACCGATTTGCTGATTGTCCATTTCATGAGCATGTCGTCTAATCATGGGTTTCCAGATCATCACCAGCACGTTGCGATAACGTGCCGACCAGGTCCGGACTGATTTTTTCAGCTTTTCTCCAACCAAGCTATAATGAACCAGATGTTAACAAATGCAACATTTATTTTGTCAGTTGCAACGCTTGTGCAAAAGTATTACAAGGCCTACAAAACCTCTGCCGATTTTTTAAGTAGATGAAAGAGTAGATTTAAGAGATAAATTGTTTAGCAAATTTCGTGCCCTTTTCAACTAACTATCAGCTGACGCAATTTGAGCTCTCCTAATGACATTTCCAGAAGATGTTAAGGTTCATTTTCTTATAAGTTTGGCAGTTTTCAGTCGATTTCCAAAGGCGATAGCTCATTGGCTATGCGATTTCATGCTCTTTTGAATGAACTATTAGTCGGCCCGATCGGTGCTCTTCCACGGGCATTCCCAGAGGATGTTAAGTGACGTCAGGTATTCTTCATAACTTCGACATTTTCCCACATATTTCACAAGATAAAACGTACCTTTAAAGGAAAACAATCAATGCACCTCTTGCGCCATTCCCAGAAGAATTTAACTGATCCAAACTTAAACAATAATACACCATCAAACAAAGTTTTAAACATTTTTATTAAATCGCAATTTAAGATTCCAGATAAATACCTACCTGCATTATCTTCCAGTTTGATCAATACGCTTTGTTGATCAAATGGAATTATACAGAAGGCGTGAAAGTGCAAATATTCAGTAAACCTCTCGTGCACTGACTAAATGTGCGGACCGTCTCAGGAGCAAAGATTTCGGCCGGCTTGCAAGCCTTTGTTGAAAAACTTTTGGAAATTTTCGCTGAAGCTGGAGATGGATCTTGCCGATGAGATGAGGAAGTTTTATGAAGCTCCGCCCAATGGCAGATTTTTGACAATTTTTTAAAGTCACTGACTACATAGAATGATCAAGTGAAATTTCAAAGTCCGACATCGTTTAGTTGAGTAGAGCTGAATTGTTCATATTGACTTGGAGATTGCAAACCAGTGCAGTCAAAAACATATGTGCAGGACAAGGAAAACAACTCAAAAATGCTTGTTAAGTTACACACTGGACTGTGTAACCATCAGGGCCAGCAAAGCTGTTTTTTCGTAATCGAATCTACAAAATTTTAGGGAATTTTGTCTGAAAATTAGTATAGTCACTGAATAGTAGCTGTGCAAACTACGCCCTCTGTGGTTGTCCTCCGTGCAACCTCCCTAGGAAAAGTTCGACGAGAAAAACAGCAAAAGTCGCTATCCAAGACAGCCAGATGCCTCTGGCCAAAAGCTGGAAATTACCGAAAGTGATTTGGGTGGGCGAGCGGGCAGTGGCGTACCTCAACACATTCCTCCTGCTCCTTTGCCAGAACTCCATCAACCCCGCCTCAATGCTGCTGAGAATCACCCGATTCACTTTCCCCAAAATGGGCGTTCCATATCGGAAAACGAACGTCAATTGGGCGGGGTTCAGCTGCTGGGCCACCTTATAGTAGCACTTCTTTTGGTAGCCCTGCTCATCTACAGTCAATTGAGTATAGGCGGCAGCCAGCTTTTCCACCGTCAAAAATGCCTCATCCTTCACGCACTTGCTCATTCTCCTGGCAAACTCCTGGGTGGGATAGAAGGAGTTCTTCCCCAGGATTTCGCTCACGTACTCCTGGTCGGCGCCCTCAAACCTCTCCAAGGTGATCCGGAAAATATCCTCAGTACTAAACCGGTAGGCCAGACTGGCGGCTTCACTGATGCGAGTCAGCTCGGGTTCGCTCTCCTTCGCTGTAAGCACGCTAGTCAGCTTTGCCTGCAGATCAGCAATCAGGTAGAAGTAGTAGACAGTCAGCGCCATCAGCAACATCCGGTAGTACTTGACGGGCAGTGGATAAACCGGTAAATTGGCCAGTAGCTGAGTGTTGACAAGGAGGATTTTGCCTAGGGGCGTGTGGCTGAAGAACTTGAGGTAGACGTCGAACAGGACCAGGAGGGCGGCGCCCAGCGCGTGAGGGAGAAGAGGAAGCACCCTCAGAAGGTTCCCCTCTGCTTTGGAGCGCACGGGCAGCATCACCACTAGGCTGTGGATGTCATGCGGGTATGTGTAGTCCACCTGAAAGCTTCATACTGGTAGGTTAGCTTAAAAAATCCAAAAAACGCTCACAATCCGTAAATATTCCCTAGCCATAAATCTGCCATTAAAGGAGGCATGAGAGCGGCCTTCCAACACCTCTTTGAACGTCCCAGTGCAGGTGCCATTGGGGTAAATATCCCCATAGTCGCCTGCAGGAAAATGCCGGTACTTCACAGTAGCGTTCAGCTGTTTGGTGAGTTCCAGCAGCAAACTGCCGTCTCTTCCCTCATAGCGATGCCCATTCCATCTGGCTAGAAGTGAGGGAAACATGGCCGCCTCAAACCTGTTCCCATGAAAATCAGACGCAGTGTCCAGAAAAATCAAATCAGCGCTCTTTTGGGTGCGAAGCACCTTTCCAAAATGATCGTATCTGCTCAAACTGGCAAAACTGGAGTTGGTGAACACCAAATTGGTGGCCCAATTGTTCCTAAATGCCCGCTCTGAGTACACCTCCACTTGATCCAAAGTGAAGTTGCCAACAAACACGTTCCTCTGTCGGGCTTTCCAGAAATTCAGGGAGGCTATTTTGGAAAAGCTCCGCTCGAACTGCTGGGACTTTTCCAGGAATGTGAAGTAAACGTTGTAGTAGTTGCTCAGGTGAGTCTCAATCGACTTTCTCCAGGTGCTGTTGTAATCCTCTCCAGCTCTCCTTTCCTGAATATTGACCACTATTACCGGCACAAACTTATGGAAGGTCCGGATGGAATCCCTTACTGCATCCGACTCGGTGAAGATGATGCAGTTTCGAATCGGCTGCAGCTGGTGGAGGTTGGCCAGCAAAATTTCCAGATTGGGTCCACTTTGACCTAGATTCAACCCGGCCAGACTCAACAAGACAAAACGAAGAGCCCCACCGGCCATCATAATCCAAAAAAAAACTGTGAAGTTTTTCTGGAGCTCATCCATAATTCCAAGCGAAAGTTGGCATGGGTAATGGACCATTAAAGTTGCCATGCTAATGGCTTAATGGAAAGGATGAAAAAATCGAGTACGGTCATGCCCAAGTGAAGGCGTAACCAGCCGAGGCATGCATATTGCGTAATTCGAATGACGTAACTTGAAATGTATCACCGGCATCGATTGAGAGTGGGAATTACAGCGTTGCCTTGGCCCGACTCGGAAAATCCCTAGACTGGATTTCCATCAGGTTTTCTTCCGGCAAACTGCCTCCTTTCTGCTATTGGATATTCCAGTCACTAACAAAACCAATCAAGCAGTGGGCTTGCCACATGAAGGGTTTGTAGAACCGCATAGGGCAAGCACAGCAGCGCTACAGGAAAGTAAATCATGGCAGCTCCTGATACATTAGGCGGTTTGGCAACGGGGCGGCTTGAGGAAGTAGTACTAGTCTTAGTCAGTTTTCAATGGAAATCAGGTATGGGGAGGATCTAAAAGTACTACAATCAGCAAGGTCACAGCCAGGATTTTTTTATTTGTCGCCCTGTTGCCAGCGGCTGCAACTGTCTGAAACCAATGGGCCTCTTCCAACTATCGGTTTCTTGAAGCCAAACTGGTTTTCATCGATTCAGGGAAATTGGGCGTCAGTCTGGCAATGCGGTCTTTGGGAAACATCCCAACCTGACTTGCTGAAGCAAAAATTGCTACTCTTCAACTTTATTCACGTTGTAAACGGGGTCGCGAACGTGTTGGTGCTGTTTTCAGTGAATTTACATAACGTGGCGAAAATGTGTTGAATCGGGTCGCATAAACCGGAGATTTTTGACACCGTTTTGAATTAAATCGTGAGTATTTGGCAGCTATTGGGAGCTTTTCCTATTGATTTTCGCCCCTTGATGTTTCCCAACCGGTTTGCTGGCTTGACATTGAAACGACTTTTCATGCTGGATGGTTCCATCGGCTTTGGGGGCAAGGAAAATGGGAATTTTCCCCAAGTTGTCACAATAACAGTTTTAGGAGCATTGATGTGTCACTAATCAGCAATGACATTTGGACAGGGGATGAATTATTGAGCTGTCACTGTCATATTTAATAATTCACCAATGGCCGTTGATTCTCCATCACGTTTCCTCTTGCTGATAACTCACTACTCTAATTTGGAAGGGTTCAATCGACTAATAAACGTTTAATTTAATTTAATTTGGACAGTGTAATTAAAAACCGTGTTGAATTGATTCAGATTCCTTTTCGTCCTTGTCTATTAATGACAAATTAGCAAAACAAATAACAAAATTAATATCTGCCTCAAAACTCATTACACTAATTTGGAAGTGTTCAATCGACTAATAAACGTTTAATTGAATTTAAAGAGTGCGATAAAAAATCATGTTAAATGTGTGTGGAGATGGATCCAGATTCCTTTTCGTCCTGCTCGTCTATTAATAATTGGACAATTGTCTGGCATGGTTCAATCCCCGAAAAACTATAATTAGGATCGTCTAAAAATGTTGGCTGAACGTTGAAATGCCATCATCAAATCCGGAATAAGTTGTGGGGATTTTGCGATTAAACACCTGGGGTGCGTTAAACTTTGGCAATTGGCCCACATGCAAATTTCCGCGATTTTCAGGATTTCTACTACGTTGCGTATTTTAAGTGGCACACTCAAGTTAAGTGCATTTTTCGATTGGGAAATTTGGCGCAAAAATCAATGAGTTATGAGGAAAAGACTACACTTTACAAGTCGAAAGACGCTAGAAGGATCTAATTTTTTGCGCAAAATAGGAGCAGTACACTTAAAGGAAATTGAGTGAAATATAGCGCACTTAAGTATGATAATGGGGCTTGGTAACAATACAATAAATTGTTCAGGCAATTTCACACAGTTCAACACGAGTCAGTCATTGAAAAGCCAATAAAGAGGCGTTATCTGCGTTCTATCGCACACTTACCGCAAAAGTGCAAATAATTATTAGCGGATTAGTTACGCGAAACAGTCAAGGAAATTGGACGTTTCGCTCCAGCAGACTTGCCATTGAACGATAAATTAACAAACCTTGAAGWTTGGATGATACTATTGAATTTTCGGTAGCTMATATTTAACCAAAGAGCTKTTCGATTCTCTTGAACTCAATAGCGCAACTCAACACAGCGTTACCCAGGACTACTTGAAACGTTTGCAATCCRGCACTTCTGAGGCTCCTGAGTCCCTCCTCTAGCTCCTGCTCCATATCAGCATCTTCCAAAAATCTCCTGACTGATCCGAGGACCTTCTGAACCCGCCTTTAACAATATTGGAGCGTCTATCGGCTTCTAAAGCGGATCAGATCCCATCTTCGTCTAGCCCCTCTAATAGCAGCAACGACATTAACAGGTCCTGCTTCCTTCCTAAGCCCACTAGTGCATTATTTGACTGTTCAGAAGCGTTTGACATCAGTCAGCAAAAATTATGAGTCTTTTTCCGGGGGATGTTTTGCAGCTAACCACCACCCTCTTGCAGGCGTAGCAGAGGAAAATGGCTGGAAAGCTGGGAAAACTAGCAGTGGGCGGTTTGGCCGGCACTGCAGGCGCTGGATTGGCCACATACCTGCTCCTGAAAGACCAGAGTGAAAATGTAATTGGTTTGACACGCCCACTCGTGAATATCCTCGTTAAAAGGCGTGTTTCAGTGGCCAGCAGTGAACGCCCAGAAGGCCACGCCCAAGCCGAAAAAGGCCCTGCCCAGTCGCGCGGATCAGATCAAATCGCTTCAGACCGAGCAGTTTGATGTCGTGATCATTGGTGGGGGAGCAACAGGGGCTGGATGCGCTCTTGATGCAACCACTCGAGGGCTGAAGACTGCGCTGATTGAAGCTGATGATTTTGCCAGCGGCACCAGCAGTAAAAGCACCAAGTTGATCCATGGAGGAGTCAGGTAAAATTGGACAAAGATGGCCACACAATTTAACTGTTGATTATTGTCCCTTACTTATGCTGCGTAGGTATCTGCAGAAGGCCATCATGCAACTGGACTATGATCAGTACAAAATGGTAAAGGAGGCCCTACACGAAAGGGCCGCTATGCTAGAGCAGGCCCCTCATCTCGCCCATCCTCTTCCCATTATGTTGCCCGTTTACAAGTAAGATGGTTGTTTTAGTTTTATTGGTGGCGAGTTTCGAGACAAGAAAACCGGTTGCCCTTGATAACTATTTGCGCTTGTAATGCGACAAATGCGATTAGATAATGCCGCCGATGATAATGCTGTTCAGTCAATGGATTGATTGCCATTGAAATTATTCTGAAAAAAATCCCGTTAATGCCCAGAACGTAGAAACGGAAAACTGACTAATTCTGAGTAGCATTCCAGCTTGAGAATTGACGAACTTGCATTTGATAGCGCTCAAGCTGCTTTTAAGAATTCCCCATCTTCAAACTAGAGCAGGTAGAAACGTGTCTCTTTGTCCACCTATAGAAGAGATCACTGTTGAAGTTCTGCTAATTTCAAAAGAATCGGACTACAGAGCTATTTTCCAGAAATTAACGAACTTGCGCTGGATAGTATCTCATATAGCTATCAAGCAGAATCGCTTTTAAAGATTCGTCATGTTTAAACTAGAAGAGATACAAACGCGCCTTTTTGCCCATTTATAGAAGACATCTGACCGTTGAATGTCTGAAAGTTAGAAGCAAATTGGGCGAAAGGAATATTTTCCAAGAATTAACTAACTGGCGCTTGATAGTGTTTCATATAGCTCTGAAACAGAATTGCTTCTAAAAATTCCTTATCTTTAAACTAGAACAGGTACGCACGTGTCTCTTTGCCCATCTATAGAAGACATCTGATTGTTGAATTTCTGAAAATTAGAAGCAAATTAGGTGAAAGGAATATTTTCCAGGAATGAACTAACTGTCGCTTGATATTAGTTCATATAGCTCTCAAACAGAATTGCTTCTAAAAATTCCTTATGTTTAATCTAGAACAGGTACAAACGTGTATTTTTGCTCATCTGTAGAAGAAATCTGGCTGTTGAAGTTTTGATAATATCAAACAAATCGGACCACAGAACTATTTTCCAGAAATTACCGAATTTGCGCTTGATAGTATCTCATATAGCTATCAAGCAGAATCGCTTTTAGCGATTCGTCATGTTTAAACTAGAACAGGTACAAACGTGTCTTTTTGCCCATCTATAGAAGAGGTCTGGCTGTTAAAGTTCTGATAATTTCAAAAAAATCGGACTACAGAGCTATTTTCCAGAAATTAACGAACTTGCGCTTGATAGTATTTCATATAGTTCTCAAACAGAGTTGCTTCTAAAAATCCCTTATGCTTAAACTAGAACAGGTACAAACGTGTCTTTTTGCTCATCTATAGAAGAGGTCTGGCTGTTGAAGTTCTGATAATCTCAAACAAATCGGACCACAGAATTATTTTCCAGAAATTAACGAACTTGCGCTTGAAAGTATCTCATATAGCTATCAAGCAGAATCACTTTTAAAGATTCGTCATGTTTAAACTAGAATAGGTACAAACGCGCCTTTTTGCCAATTTATAGAAGACATATGACCGTTAAATGTCTGAAAATTAGAAGCAAATTGGGCAAAAGAAATATTTTTCAGGAATTAACTAACTAGCGCTTGATAGTATTTCATATAGCTCTCAAACAGAATTGCTTCTAAAATTCCTTATGTTTAAACTAGAACAGGCACAAACGTGTCTTTTTGCCCATCTATAGAAGAGATCTGGCTGTTGAAGTTCTGATAATCTCAAACAAATCGGACTACAGATCTATTTTCCAGAAATTAACGAACTTGCGCTTATAGTATCTCATATAGCTATCAAGCTGAATTGTTTCTAAAATTCCTTATGTTTAAACCAGAACAAGTACAAACGTGTTTTTTTGTCCATCTATAGAAGAGATCTGGCTGTTGAAGTTCTGATAATCTCAAACAAATCGGACTACAGAGCTATTTTCCAGAAATTAACGAACTTGCGCTTGATAGTATCTCATGTAGCTATCAAGCAGAATCGCTTTTAAAGATTCCTCATGTTTAAACTAGAACAGGTACAAACGTGTTTTTTTGCACATCTGTAGAAGAGATCTGACTGTTGGAGTTCTGATAATCTCAAACAAATCGGACTACAGAACTATTTTCCAGAAATTAACGAACTTGCGCTTATAGTATCTCATATAGCTATCAAGCAGAATCTCCTTAAAAAATTCCTCATGTTCAAATTAGGACTGGTGCCAACGTGTCTCTTTGTCGATCTTTGGAGAACACTTGACTCTTCAAATGTTGATAATTGCAAGTAAATCAGTGAATGGGAATATTATCCAGAAATTGATGAACCTTGGTTCCGTGGTCTCCAAAACTCTCAAGCGAACTAACTTTCAAAAGTTCCTCACGCTCAAACTAGAGTAGGTAGGAACTTTTCTTATTGTCTATGTATCGAGTACACTTGACTGTTTAAGGGCTGATAATTTTCAGTAAATCAGGCTACAGAAATATTTTCCAGAAATTAACGATTGACGAGGTCCTGCGCTCCCATTTTAACCGAAACTGCGTTTAAACTATCAGCAATGGTACTGTTAGGGATATTTTCAGGATAATTCTTTTTGGCCCGAGCATGTGTTTCCAGAATCCAGGGATTTGTTCTTGTTTTCCAGATGGTGGCAGGTGCCGTACTTTTGGTTCGGCATCAAAATGTACGACGTTGTTGCCGGTTCAAAAACGCTAAAAAACTCCTACTACTTGTCCAAGAAGAACGCCCTCGAGCTCTTTCCCATGTTGAAAGGCAACGCCCTATGTGGAGGAATCGTCTACTACGACGGTTAGTGGCAAATGGACCATTCCGCATTTAATAGAATAAATAGAATATTGGCCATTCCAATAGGGCAACAAGACGATGCCAGAATGAACCTCTGCATAGCCGTGACGGCTGCCCGATTGGGCGCCACTGTGGCCAATCACGTAAAAGTGACCAGTTTGACCAAAGAAAAGGGCAAAGTTTGCGCCGTTACTTGTCGGGATGAAATGACTGGTAAGTTGAAGACTTTCTTGATTGATCGAAGGGAAAATACGGGGGTTTTAGGGCAAACCTGGTCGATTCCGACCAAGTGTGCGATCAACGCAACGGGCCCATTTACGGACAGTATCAGGAAAATGGATAATCCTCAAGTGAAGGAAATCTGCTCGCCAAGCAGCGGGGTTCACATCACTTTACCAGGTAAAAATTGATTTTGGCAATTTTCTACCTTGTGATTCGAACCGGATTTCTGCTGGTTCCAGGCTATTACAGTCCAGAGCAAATGGGCCTGCTGGATCCCTCAACCAGCGACGGCCGAGTGATTTTCTTCCTCCCCTGGCAAAAGCACACGATTGCCGGAACGACCGATTTACCATGCCAGGTCACGCAAAACCCCAAACCGACCGAAGACGAAATCATGTTCATTCTGGAGGAAGTGAAGAACTACCTCAATCCCGATGTTGAAGGTGCAGTTGTTTCGAACCCAGATTAAGCGGCTTCTAGCCAATATTTAACCACCTTACAGTGCGTAGAGGCGATGTCTTGTCCGCTTGGAGCGGAATTCGGCCTTTAGTGTCCGACCCCAACAAGCCGGACACTCAATCCTTGGCCCGCAATCACATTGTTCACGTTAGCGATTCCAACTTGGTTACAATCGCGGGAGGCAAATGGACCACCTATAGAGCGATGGCGGAAGAAACCATCGATGCTGCCATAGCAGGTGAATACACAGGGTGATGCTTGAAAAATGGGAGGATGCAGGGGCGGATCCAGCTTTAAAG